GTCCCAAAGCAGCTGCCCATATATTCCCAAGTTGTGCAAGCTTTTTTCCGCATTTGTCCCTCATTTGCGATTTTGTTTACAAATCAAGTCCGATTTCAATGACTATGCGCTTCATGTGTTCTTATGGAACAGTGCTGATACCCATGTAAGCTACTCAACGAAGCTCTGGTAACTCCCTCCCCCCAAAATCCAGAATTCTGAACAGGTCAGCCTGACATCCTGCTCGCATTTCGATGAAGAATCTCGGGGGATTTCCATACGAAAACCCGCCAGATAGGTACACTCCAGAATAAAATACAGAAGCTTGAAGAAGAAGCCCTTAAAGGAGAATTCACGCTGAAAAGGCAACCCATTTCAAATTAACCTAGGGATGGTGAGTGGTACACGAAAGAAGGAAAAACCATGAGAAACGGCCCAGAACCCGAGAAATGGGACCCCTTCCTTGCCCGTTGATTTGAGCATTGATCGTGCCCTCTTCAATGCGCTCTCTCTATGTATGTCGGTGGGCGTACCGCGCCAACTGCGCCAAGAGTGAGCCATGCTAGATCGCCGAGGTCAAATCTTTCGCTGCCAATTGCGCGTCGGTCCGCACCCTCAGGAGGTCCGCCTGTCTCCCAACTAGCAATTTCCCCTTCTTTGACCTTCGTTCTTATCGTGAGGGTACCTTAGGTTGTATAGCGAGCGCATGAGTTTCCAAGTTGTGTCATTACTAGCTTGGCAAGCTTTCTTCTTTTCCTCAGGCAAGCTTATAATTATAAAACGGCGGGGACCAAAAAATAATTACAAAAAGGTTAGAAAAAGGATGCTCTTGTAAAAATTCGGATGAGAGGGTTATTCATGGCGAGTAATCAGTTGGTATACCAGAAATTTACTATTTGTTTCACAAGAATGCTGGGTTGTGAACAAAACTTTCGCCCCAGGCGGGACTCGAACCCGCACCCTCGCTTTCCGGGCAAGTGCGCTACCAGTTACGCTACCGGGGCACCATTTCTTTACTATTTGATTAATTGTTCCAATAATGCAAAATTTAAGGGTGACATTTGTAGTTATGAAACGCACTGTAAAGTAAGCCTACTCAGCCTTTACCATTTTAATTAGGCACGCTATCAATTTTTCAGCGAAAGCATCAAAAATTCAATCAAATTCGGGGGTCCATTTTTTGTGGCATCGTTGCGTTCTCACCTGGTTCCAGTTATTTTCGCTTCACTTTGATCCCGTTAAATTGATTGCTCTGTTTACGTAAACAGAGGTTTTGCGAATGCTCGCTCCTGCTCCATCAAACTACTACTAGAAAATTCTTCAGCAGGAATCTCATTATTTCCATAACGTTTGCAAGAGCTGACAACCATCCGATGAGATGCTTTATGCCATGCAAGTCAAGCATTCACGCGAAGCCTTAGGAAATAACGGTGGCAGATACTCGAAATTCCGACCCAGTCATACGCCGGAGACCTTAAAGGAGGATTTCATGATAAGACGAAGATCAAAGAAGGAGGAATTGCCTACTTTGGAGACAGGGGGACCTCCTAAGGGTGCGTTGAAAGTTTAAGCTCCAAAAAATCCGAATTACCGAGAGGCGCTACATATGCAGGGGAAACTGTTCTCTCTTTCAATAATGCATCCCTACCTCACAAAAACGCCAACCCATGGGCCATGGTTACGGTAATTGTGAAGGGGTACGAAAGCAATTTGCGATTTACAGCCGAGAATCGAGCGATAGTCGCAAAGTATGTCAGTTGCCCAATCAGTACCTATGTATAGTGTGAATATTCACTACACTATCTATTATACAAGGGCCGTTGTACGCATCAGCGATTGTTCACGTTTCAGCTCGCAAAAAAGGATATTTTCAGATCCTCACTAAGAACGTAAAATTGGGAGCGGTGTAACGGTTACAGGTCTGTCATTTGATGCCTCCTCGATTTTTGATGGCAATCTGCGTTCGCAGAGCGTCCCAGCTCCAAAGCTTCAGAAACGACGGATGTTTCAAGAGAAGTCCCTCAGCCTCAATTCCTTCGGAAAATTTTTGGATCGAGCGATTTCGAAAGGGCAGACGTGCAAGTGCAAGCCGTTAGACTTCCGCTCACACGTAGTCAGTATCCGATTTCATTCACACCATCACCCTCTATCCCATATCGTCTTCCCTCAAACAATGGCCTCGAAGAAGAGAAGTGGCACTTTAGTGCAACTGCTGCTACTCTTCAAAGTTCTCCTCGAATGCGCAAAAAACAGCAAATTGAGATCTGGGCCAGTAAGTGAGTGTTAAACCTAGCGACTGGTAGCCCGTATTGGTGGGAATGGACCTGGGTAATATTTATAAAGATGTACAATTGCCAAGGGAGCTGGAAAACTATCGACAAATTTGATGTGAAAAGCAATTTGTTGAAGGCATTTCTCTCAAATGGAACTATTTTTTCAGGGGGAACTGAGGCGTAGAGAATGTTTCTGCAGGTCAAAGTCATATGTGAACCCCAGTAATCCCTATAAACAGAGCCCAGCGTTACGGATATAGCCGAAGAATGCGGTAGTAAAAAAAGGCGGAGGAATTCGTGAAAGGAAAACTCCTGAGAATCGGGGACGTAGCACTATCGAATGCGAAAGGAGTGATCCTTAGGATGTGCTAGTGGTTCCGCCGCTTCACAAGTTGGCTAAACCTGTTCGGTGACGTTCTTTACTATCAAAGGCAGAGGTTGCATTGAAAAGCAACCTAAATATGAGATTCGAAAGCAGATGTGGCCGGTGGCGCAGGTGTGTAACGTATGTAAGAAAATCCATGAGCGGTAAGAATCCGACAGATTGAGATTCTAACAAGGAAAGGATGGTAGGTCGAAGTGGCCGTATAAAATGAGATGTATACCACCTGATGCGTCTCTAGACGCTGATTCCAAATCTGCCTTCCAAATCTGCTAAACGACTCTCCGAACGGAGTTATGAAGCGTAATAGCTCAGTGGTGATGGTCCGGGGTGGCAGGTAAAAGCTCGTAGGATCGGTTCCTTTGCAAATTGGTTGCTTTGCTTTTGTCTCTAGAAGTGTTGCGGACAAAAGCAAAGCAACAAACTTGCAAAGGAACCGATCCTACGAGCTTTTACCTGCCACCCCGGACCATCACCACTGAGCTATTACGCTTCATAACTCCGTTCGGAGAGCCGTTTAGCAGATTTGGAAGGCAGATTTGGAAATCAGCGTCTAGAGACGCATCAGGTGGTATACATCTCATTTTATACGGCCACTTCGACCTACCATCCTTTCCTTGTTAGCAGACTAAAGCAGCTTGATCGAGAAAGTTTCATGTGCTACAAAGGCATGTCCT